ACTAAAAATACAAAAAATTAGCCAGGTGTGGTGGCAGGCACCTGTAGTCCCAGCTACTCGGGAGGCTGAGGCAGGAGAATGGTGTGAACCCGGGAGGCAGAGCTTGTAGTGAGCGGAGATCATGCCACTGCACTCCAGCCTGGGTGAGAGAGCAAGACTCTGTCTTAAAAAAAAAAAAAAAAGAAAAAAGGCACATACTGGCCAGGCACGGTGGCTCACACCTGTAATCCCAGCTCTTTGGGAGGCTGAGGCAGGTGGATCACCTGAGGTCTGGAGTTCAAGACCAGCCTGGCCAATATGGAGAAACCTCGCCTCTACTAAAAATACAAAAATTCGCTGTGTGTGGTGGTGCACGCCTGTAGTCCCAGCTACTCTGGAGGCTCACACAAGAGAATCTCTTTAACCCCGGAGGCAGAGGTTACAGTAAGCCGAGATCGTGCCATTGCACTCCAGCCTGGCGACAGAGTGGGACTCCGACAAGAAAGAAAGAGAGAAAGAAAGAAAGAAAAGAGAAGAAAAGAAAGGCACATACTATGGATTTTAAAGTTTCATTTTGTCGGCCGGGCGCGGCGGCTCACGCCTGTAATCCCAATACTTTGGGAGGCTGAGGCAGGCAGATCACGAGGTCAGGAGATCGAAACCATCCTGGCTACTAACACAGTGAAACCCCTTCCCTACCAAAAATACAAAAATAAATTGGTGGGGTGTGGTGGCCAGCGCCTGTAGTCCCAGCTACAGGGACTACAGCTTTGGGAGGCTGAGGCAGGAGAATGGCTTGAACCTGGGAGGTGGAGCTTGCAGTGATCCGAGATAGCGCCACTGCACTCCAGCCTGGGTGACGGAGCGAGACTCCGTCTCAAAAAAAAAAAAAAAAAAATTTCATTTTTTAAGTCACACTGGGCAGGAAGCAGAATAGAGATTTGAGTCCAGGTGTACCTGACCGAGTCTCTGCCTGCACTCCTAGACAAGATGCTCAGGACAGACCTCATTCTTTGGTTGTCCCCAAGCAGGAGGAAACAAATGCCACTTCCTATGTTGGGAGAGCTGAGGGCTGGTGGTTTAGCAGTAGGAGAAGAAAAATCTGATTAGATGTCTCAGGCACGCTCCATGGATCTCAGGGCTGATGGGGGACAAGGAGAGGACAAGGGAGGAAGCAGTCCAGGGTGCACCCCCTTGTTAGTGGCTGGGGTCAGTGGCTGACCAAGTAGGAGTGCGGAGGGGTAAGAAAAGTAGCTTTCAAGGGTAAGAACCTGTGTGTGAATGCGGATATGTTCAGTATGAGATGTCCAAGAATCGTCCCCAGTGGTCATTTGGATGTGGGTCTGGAGCTGAAGGGTGAGACACAGTAGGTGGGTTTTTCAGTCAGTTATGGGTTCTAATCAGGACCAAGAAGTGTGTTAAGATCGTCCCAGATGAGACAGTGAAGCCAGGACCTTCAGAAACGCATTCGAGGGGCAAGAGGAAAAGGACAGTGAGGTGGAACAGGAGGAACAGGACACTGAACAGGACACTGAGGAGGGGCCGGAGATGCTGGTAAAGAAGTGACAGCAAGTACTGAGCAAACTAGTGGCTATAAAGGGGAGGAGAGGACAAAAGCTGGGGAGGCCGCTGGAGAGTGACGGGGAGAGAGGAGGGTGAGAAGTCGGAACTAGAGGGGTTAGGGGCGGAGCGAAGTTCTCGAGGCGTTGCCTGCATGAGGGGGAAGCGCGGCTTGAGGCCCGGGAGGGTACAGACAGCGAGGAGGGGCCTCCGTTGGAGGGGACTGGAGACCTGCCGAGAGGTGGGGGCCTTAAAGAAGTTGCTGACCAACCACGTCCTCGGCGCGGCCAAGAGCCGGGCCCAGGTCGAAGGCCCGATGGCCCCTGCAGCACTGGGCCAGGACCCGCGCAGCCGCGTTCGCCCCCTCGAGGTCGTGAGCGCGCGTGCCCAGAGCAACTGGCATTGTCACGTACGGCCGGCGCCCAGGGGTTGGCTCCGCCCCCGGCTTCCGCGGGGATTGGCCGGGGCGGGCCGGGGCTGGGTAGCTGCAGTAGGGTAGAGAGTCCGCACTTGCGCGGCGGCCGAACTGAGAGAGAATTAGTCCCTGCGGTCCCACAAGACGGGCCCCGCTGCCCTTGGTGACCCTGCGCTCCGGCCTCGGGGTAGGTGGCGGTCGGCGCGCCGAGACCCTGGGGAGCCCCGCCCAGACGCCTGCTCCGCTCCCAGGCCGCCCGGGCTCTCCAGCAGCGCTCGCCATCGACAGCGAGGTCCCGCAGAGCGAAACCTTCTGCCAGCAAATCTCCGAGGAAGACTTGGAGAGGCAGGCGGACACCACACTGAGCGCGCGCTGCGCCGCCTCTTCCACCGCCTCGACCGCAACCCGTCGCTGGCAGAGAGGGTGGTGCAATTGGAACAGCGTGGGCTCCTCTCTTTCCTCCGGGTGCGGCCGCAGGGCCTGGGACCGACTGGGTGGCAACTGTCGCTACCCGGGTCCGCCGTCCCCTAGAGCAGAGCTCCGACAATTGGAGCTTGGGGGTGGGGTGGAGAGGTAGCAGTCGGCGTAGCTGGGGCTTCAGGGGAGGATCTATCAGAAAACCGAGGCTGCACAGCCTGGGGAGTGGAGCGGGCAGGCATCTCACGCCCCGGACCTCCCCCTGCCCTGCCTCTCCCACTCTTGTTGCGGGCGAAGTGTGCAGGGGGAGCTGAACCATTGCAACAGCACGGGCGCCCTGGAGATGCACGAGCGGGTGGAGCAGCTGAAGCAGAGCATACACCGCGTGCACCTCTACTCCCGGGGTGAGGATCAACCTCTGCCCGTGCTGGGCCCTGCGGGGGGTCTGAGCCCAATGCAGCCAGGCCGAGGGCTAGATGACCACCTCCACTCTTTTCGGTTGGATTTGCCCTCCTTGGACCAAGTTTTATCCAGAGCAGGAAGGGGCCTGCCTGGGCAATCCGGACTTGGGAGAAGGAGAGGCGCTGCCCTTAGCTAGATTCTTTTTTTTTTTTTTTTTTTTTTGAGACGGAGTCTTGCCCTGTGACCCAGGCTGGAGTGCAATGGCACTGATCTCGGCTCACTGCAACCTCCGCCTCCTGGGTTCAGTCGATTCTCCTGCCTCAGCCTCCTGAGTAGCCGGGATTACAGGCGCCCGCCACCACGCCCAGCTAATTTTTGTATTTTTAGTAGAGACGGGGTTTCACCATGTTGGCCAGGATGATCTCGATCTGCTGACCTTGTGATCCGCCCGCCTTGGCCTCCCAAAGTGCTGGGATTATAGACATGAGCCACTGCGCCCGGCCCCTAGCTAGATTATTTAGTTAGGAGACTGACTTCTGCTTTGCTGCTTCCTGGCTGTGTGATCCTGAGCAGGCTGGGCTGCCTTCCCGAAAGAGAGAGAGCCCTCATTGCTCATCTTGGTGAGTGTTTTGGAGTGGTGGATGAAGACCTGCAGGTAGGGCCTGGCTCAAGCAACCCAGCAAACCTGACTCAATTGAAAAAAAAAAAAGCTGGGTGCGGTGGCTCACGCCTGTAATCCCAGCCCTTTGGGACAAGGCCGAGGCAGGCAGATCACAAGGTTAGGAGTTCGAGACCAGCCTGACCAACATGGTGAAACTGCCATCTCTACTAAAAATACAAAAATTAGCGGGGCGTGGTGGCCGGCGCCTGTAAGCCCAGCTACTCAGGAGGCTAAGGCAGGAGAATTGCTTGAACCCGGGAGGCGGAGGTTGCAGTGAGCTGAGATAGTGCCACTGCACTCCAGCCTGGGCAACAGAGTGAGACTCCGTCTCAAAAAAGAAAAAAAAAAGAAAGTTGAGAGAGTCCTGGCACTGACCAACCATGTCCTTCTTGTGGCCCTGTGGCTTGTCTCTGGCCCTGTGTTTGGTACTTTAAAAAAGCACTTTTTATTATTAAAGTAAACATATACAAAACTGGAGATGACAGGGAACACCCCCAAGAACCTGTCATCAGCCTCAGCAACTGTCCCCATGTTGCCAAATGTGTTTCACTCCCCATAACCCTAGGCCTTTCTCTGCAGTATTTGAAGGGAAATCTCAGACATCATTGTACCTCTGACTACTTTAGAATGCATCTTAATTAAAAAAAAAAAAAAAAAAAAAAAAAGGCCAGGCATTGTGGTTCACACCTGTAATCCCAGCACTTTGGGAGGCCGAGGCAGGTGGATCACCTGAGGTCAGGAGTTCAAGACCAGCCTAGCCAAATTGGTGAAACCCCGTCTCAACTAAAAATACAGAAGAATTAGCTGGGTGTGCCTGCAATCCCAGCTACTTCGGGAGGCTGAGGCAGAAGAATCACTTGAACCCAGGAGGCAGAGGTTGCAGTGAGCCGAGATCGCACTACTGCACTCCAGCCTGGGCAACAAGAGAGAAACTCCATCTCAAAAAAAAAAAAAAAAGGCATTTGGCTGGACACAGTAGCTCATGCCTGTAAACCCAGCACTTTGGGAAGCTGAGGTAAGAGAATCTCTTGAGCCTAGGAGTTGGAGACCAGCCTGGGCAACACAGCAAGACCCTATCTCTCTGAAAACTTTTTATTTATTTATTTTTTTTGTTGAGACGGAGTCTCGCTCTGTTGCCCAGGCTGGAGTGCAGTGGCCGGATCTCAGCTCACTGCAAGCTCCGCCTCCCGGGTTTATGCCATTCTCCTGCCTCAGCCTCCCAAGTAGCTGGGACTACAGGCGCCTGCCACCTCGCCCAGCTAGTTTTTTGTATTTTTTTAGTAGAGACGGGGTTTCACCGTGTTAGCCAGGATGGTCTCGATCTGACCTTGTGATCCGCCCGTCTCGGCCTCCCAAAGTGCTGGGATTACAGGCTTGAGCCACCGCGCCCGGCCTGAAAACTTTTTAAAAATAGCCAGGTGTGGTGGCATATGCCTGTAGTCCTGGCTACTTGGGAGGCTGAGGCAGGAGGATAGCTGGAGCCCTGGAGTTTGAGGTTATGGTGAGCTATGATCACACCAGTGTGCTCCAGCCTGGGCAATACAGAGTGAGACCCTGTCTCTATAAAGTGACAACTACAAAAACAAACATTTGCTGACATAATCACAATGTCATTGTTACACTTTACATAATTGACAACAGTTCTCTGACATAAGCTGGTCATAGTCACCTCTCCTACATGGGCCACAAAAGTCTTTCTAGAAAGACCCAGTGAGACTCACACATTCATTATGTTTGGCTGTTAGGCCTCTTAGGTTCCTTTTAACTAGGGTGATTGTATAATTAGTGTCTAAATTGGGACTCTTGTGAGAATGAAATGAAAGGGGGACACATATGTGGCCACATGGGCAGCAAATGTACATTGGGATGGCCCTGGGTCCTTGGCCACTTCTGTTGAAGTCCCCTTTGAGGAGGGATAGCCCGTCTGGTGTCGTCCTCTGGCAAGTCCCACTTCCCGGGTTTGCGTCTGTTACGGTCTGCTGCTGGCTTGCTTCCTCCTCTGCCTGCATTTCTTGGACGGTTGCTCTAAAGCTCGATTGGATTCAGGCTCAGTTCCTTCGGTATATTTGTGTTCCCGGGTGCCTACACTAGTGTGGGGCTACTCACTTCTGTGTCACATGGGGAGGCCCAGTTTGCCTGGGGGTCCCACTTTCTGAGGGGCTGAGAGTGAGCCCTCCACTGATTGTTCGCTGTCAGCAGTGGCTCTGGCCATTGTTCATGGTGCTCTTTGGGGACTCCCTCCCTTTCTTGTTGGAGGGGCTGCATGAAGACCCCACACCACTGTGTTTGGCTCCCACTCTACTCTGGCTGCAAGGCAGGCACTCACTGGCACCTTTTGTTGCAGACACCAAGAAGAGGAGAAGGAAGCCAAGACAGAAGAAACCAGAACCCATCCTCTTACGGGACCAGTCGACCTCCCCATGCCTGCCACCGACCCCACTGCCACCTCTGCCACTGCCGCCACCATGGTCTCCGTGGTGACCCCGTCACCCCCTGTCTATACTATGCCTAGGGTCCTTGGTCCCTTCCCTCCACTGCCCTGCAAGTCAGTCAGTGGGAGCCTCCCCCACTCCAGGCAGTCCTGGGTGCCCCCTGCTCAGAACAATCCCAGGGGCTCTCCTGGGCCTGTAGCTGTGGCTCTCAGCCCTCTGCTTTCAAGCAGCAGACCCCTCTTTGCAGACAGGGTCTTGATGGATAAAGCAGATAAACGGGATTTGCCCTGGTTAAGGCGTTGGGTGAGGTTGAAGGCACCAAGGGGCTCCACCTTCTTGACTTTAGGCAAGCAAGGCAGCCCCAGGCGCACCAGACAGGATCCTGGGGCTCCCAAAGGACAGGTGGAAAACCAGAGGGCCCCTCCCACATCTCCAGCACCAGTCCTGCCTCTCCCTGTGGGCATGGCTCCCCACGCTATCCTCTGCCTGCAGTGTACTGGGTTAGAGCCAGGATGGTGTCTGGCCCCAGGGAGGTGCAGAGGCATGCTTACCGGGGAAGCCAGGGCAATGGAGCTTGGGCGTGCTGTTTCCAGCCACATAGGAGAAATGGAAGCCTCCAGGGTTGAGAACCAAGGGAGTCAGATCAACCATGTGGCTGCAAGACAGGGCAGAGAGGGGACATCAGCCCCAGGCCCCTCCACACCTCATGTGCAGTTCTACAGCATGGGCACAGGTACTGCCCACACAGTCGACCTCTGAGCCCAGACCCCTCCCCTGTAAAATGAGAATAAGCACTCAGGATGATTGTGAGGATTAACTAACAGATTGAGAAGAAATGGTGACTGAGCCTGGCACATGGGACACTCCCCAAAATGCTCCTTTTTCATTTCCCTCAAGCCCAGAGTAAACCCCTTCGACCTCCTTGCGTTTCATGACAGGCCATTCCAGTTTAATTTCACTTCAGATCTTGAAATGTTCAAATTCTTCGCTTGGAGGATAGAAAGGAAATCTCAGAATGAGTTTGTTGGCCTCAGTTAAAGAAAAGTACCTTATAGAAGAGCCATAAGAATGACGTGGCTTTCATTCACTCGGCAGATACATTGGGACCATCTCTTGTGCCTACCTTGAGCTTGGTTAGGGGTACAGGAGATGGGATCGGGGGCGCTGGGAACTAAGGAGGTCTTAACCCAGCCTGGGGGATGGAGGACTGCCTGGAGGTGGAGGCCAGCCCTGAATGAGTCACACAGGCTAAGTGGGGAATCAAGAGGTGCAGGCAGTTAGGCCACCACACCTGGCCGTTCATCTTTTTTAGCATTGAATAATATTCCATTGCCTGGATATGCCACATTTTATCATTCACCCAGTGAAGGATATCCTGGTTGCTTCCAAGTTTTGGCAGTTATGAATACAGCAGCTAGAAACATCTGTGTGGAGGTTTTAGACTGGACATAACTGTTCAGCTCATTTGGGTAAATACCAAGGAGCAGGCTTGCTGAATCATAGGGTACGATAACCAAACTATCTTCCAAAATGACTGTACCATTTTGCATTCAGCAATGAATAAGAATTCAGAGGACTTGGCTGGGCACAGTGGCTGATGCCTGTAATCCCAGCACTTTGGGAGGCTGAGGCGGGTGGATCACGAGGTCAAGAGATGGAGACCATCCTGGCTAACATGGTGAAACCCCGTCTCTACTAAAAATACAAAAAGATTAGCCGGGTGTCGTGGCAGGCACCTGTAGTCCCAGCTACTCTGAGGCAGGAGAATGGCGTGAACCCGGGAGGCAGAGCTCGCAGTGAGCCAAGATTGCACCACTGCACTCCAGCCTGGGCGACACAGCGAGACTCCATCTCAATAAAAAAAAGACAATTCAGATTTCTGGCCAGGCATGGTGGCGCACTACTGTAATCCCATAATCCCAGCAATTTGGGAGGAGTGAGATGGGGGATCACTTGAGCTCAGGTGTTCAAATTAACCAGGCATGGTGGTGCATACCTTGTAGTCCCAGCTACTTGGAAGGCGTGAGTGGGAGAATCGCTTGAGCCCAGGGGGTGGAGGCTGCAGTCACCTGTGATCACCCTC